CTTTGCCCAGACAGGAGGAGGGTTAAAGGAGCAGCTGATTAGGGGGCTCTGGTTCACTCAGGCCGGGGTGCGGGAGTGGTATGGAATGCAGGGTAAGCCTGCACAGCAGAGGCCGGCGTGATGTTACACCAGCCTGAGGTGTGCCATGTGTCCTCCTGGGGATATTGTCCATGCATCACAGGACCCTGGCAGTGGCGGGCTGCACAGGCTCCTGGGTGGGAAGGTGTGGATGGTGACCTGTACTTGCACACAGGCTTCTTGGTGGCTGCAACAGCAGCCTTAACGTTTCATGCCCGTCTCTGGTGTCCATGCTGATAGCCATGGCTTGCATCCATCTCTGGAGCTCGTTTAGGCAGTGCTCTGAATCTCCTCTCCTCGTGCACCCTGAAACAATGGTCTCTTGCTTCTTAGCCAGTTCCAGACTTTTCCCCAGACTCCCTTCCGGCTAGCTGTGGCCCACTAGCCCCCTTCAGACTGTCTTCACGTAGCCAACACTAGTCCTTTCCCTCGGATCTGACCTCCAAATCCTGAGCCTCAGCTCCCAGCCCCCACCCACCCCAGCAGGTGAGCAGACAAACCTCTCAGGATGGTGAGTTCTGGTTGGCACTGATCCTCTTTGTGGGAATCTCTCCACTTTGCCCTCTGCACCCCTGTTTCTGGACTCTCCTCCATCAGTCCAAAGCACCGCCCCCTGCCCAACGCCCCATCTCCACCAGTGAAGGTGTTTCCTGGTGTGTGGAAACTTCTCCTCCTTCACAGCTCTCTCTCAGAGATGCAGGTACCATCCCTATTCTTTTGTCTGTTTTTTCTTTTTTCTTTTTCCCTACCCAGGTATGTGAGGAGTTTCTTGCCTTTTGGGAAGTCTGAGGTCTTCTGCCAGCATTTAGTAGGTGTTCTGTAGGAGTTGTTCCACATATAGATGGATTTTTAATATATTTGTTGTGAGGAATTTGATCTCCACATCTTACTGCTCTGCCATCTTGAAGGTCCTCCACATTAAATTTTTTTATGTTGCTAATATGTGGTTCAACTCCTCAAACCATTAACAATCAAAATTATTTGTATTTTAATAACAAATGTAATGGTCATTTAAAAGAAATATTGTTTAAATAATTGTATTTCTTTTCATTTTTTCCTAATTAAAGTGAAGTTAGTGATAAAGCTAGTAAACTTTAAGAAGAATGTACAAAAATAAAGTAATAATGTTTAATATAAACAATTTCAAAGAACATCTTTATTCTAATTAAAAATTTATAACATTTCTGGCAACTGGAACTAACAAAGTTACTATTGAGTATTCTAGCTATTAAGGGATATATTATTCTAGTTTTTAATTTTAGTCATTTCTGAATATCATACACAAGATTTGCATATATGTTTATTGACCCAGTTCTCTTCTGCCACTATAGGTTTGCCCTACAACTTGATGGTCATTATTTACTCACAAAGATAAACTACCAATGTTATAGAGAGATAGATCATATTTGCAAAGTGACTGCCTAGCTGACATGGATCCTCGGATGGATCAGCTTCCTAGAATTTTACACAGTGTTAATCGTTAATACACCCTATGCTGTCCTTCATATTAAGTCTAAGGATATTCTTATCTCTGACATATTTTCTACATGACAAAATATTCTGAAACTTTTGCACATAGTGAGATATTTTTTTGAGGTTTAATGCACAATTAACTCATAGGGACATAGTCAATTTTTATCCCAAGCGTAGGAACATATCTAACAGTGAAGATATTGACAAACTTCCGAGGACATTTTTCTTGTAAACTAAGTTGTACTATAATTATCTTTGACTGGAAAGGGTATTGGTATATAATATCCTAAGAATAAAATCTGATTTATAGACAATTACTGTACAAATTATTGTATGTAAACATGACTATATTTCAAAGTAGTATACAATTATTGAAACATATTGATATTTTTTTCTAAGTGAGACAAGCAGAGGAACTGTTACAGTAGTTTAATTTTATTCAAAAATTTAAGAATGTAAAAAACAAAACTAACTTCCATTGTATAGTGAGGAGAAAAATTTGTGTTAATCTTGGATCATTGCAGAAAATCTAAAGATAGTCCAAGTTTAAAGGACAGCTTAACCGTCTTATTATTCTGAACTTGTGCCTGAATTTGGGATAGAATAATCTTAAAAAGTGTCAGGGGAGATGAAATACAGACACAAGTCATATAGTACTCATAAGTGAGAAATAGTTACAAGTAATAGTTTGAAAACACATAGTAATAAGTACAGAGATTATGAATAATTCATTTTTTTCAAAATAAAGAATTTTTTCAAATGATTGGGTACACTAAAGTTAAGAAAGTTTACAAAATTATTTGTTAATAAAATGGAAAATATCATTTAAGTACAGAATATCTGTCATTTTACAGAAATAAAGTACAAGTTTTAATTTTATATTGTATATCTTCCAGATCTTTTTTTTTGGCTTGCTATGAGCTGATTTTTATTGGGAGAAACAAGAAAAACAGGGCCACTGTCTTCAGAAGCCTCGAGTTAAATAAACCATGTGTTTCCTGAGTAAGGCGTTCTCACATTTAGAAACTGTTCATCAGATTAGACGGTTGACATTTGGGAATGGCGGAACGGAGATACTAAACAGGGAGAAGTTGGTGGGTGTGGTTCCTTCCAGAGCAAACTTGGCAGCCTCCTGATGGGATGAAGGGGGCCCAGGGGAGGAGTGCCAGCCCACCTTACTCATGAGCCCCAGGAAGTGTAGTTTGGATAGTTGGAGAGAGAATGAAGCAGAGATGCTTTAAACTCATTCAAAACCAACTTCACTGTCTTTCTAATGGTTGATCCTTCTGCTGACCTCTCTACGTAAACGTTTGTGATCTGTTGGCTTCTTCTCTGTTTCTTAACCATTTATAATACGTGCAGACATGTGAGGCCCAGGTAGGCATTGAAGAGGCCTGGAGCGGAGGTGTTTGCTCATAAATGGAGATTTTGAAACTTAAGACAAGACTTACTCAAGACCAAGTGGACTGCCACACATGCAGTGAGGTCTAGGGAGTCTGAAATCTAAGTTCTAGTTCTAAGGAGTTTTTTTTTTTTTTTTTTGAATTTGCATCTTTTTAAATTTTTATTTTAAATTGGAGTATAACTGATTAGCAATGTTGTGTTAGTTTCAGTTATACAGCAAAGTGATTCAGTTATAAATATATATGTATGTATTCTTTTTCAAGTTCTAGGACACACTTTAAAATAAATAATATGTAATATATTTTTATGCATACATCTATCAATATTGAGAAATTCATTTCCTTTTAGAAATTATTACTTGAAAGTATTAAACCTAGGCACTCAGAGTTGACTCTGCTCTGATACTTTATTTTTACAGGATTCCATACATTTCTTTATAATTGTATATTATCCATAAACATTTTGAAATAGTCCTTATATACATTGTATGAGTATTTAGAAATATATAAATATTTAGCTATTCAAAAATGATAAAATCAATGTTTTTAGCTTCAGCTTTATCATCAATGTATATATCATCTTATTGAATTTTAAAAACTATAATAGTTCCCTTAAGCAAAACCCATGACTTTTCATGGGTTGAGTCCTTGCCATGAAAGAAGAGGAGTCTTCTTTTTGTTGGGCTCTACTATTGTCTCAGAGTATGAGAGCTCCCCCTCTGAGCCCCCAACTCTATTTCATTAAGGTTTCTATTCATTAATATCTTACAAGTAAAATAGTAGTCCCTTAAAAAAGAAAGAAATGGGTAGGAAGGCAACTAAAGTTTTAATATATAAGAAGAGAAGCATAAGCAAGACTTTAATTAAACATCTTCCCTTCTGTATTCCAAAGTATCTGGTAATTCTAATACGTTACACTCCTTATTCAGCCTCAGAGCCATTCTGTTATCTTTCCCACCTCTTATATATATGAGTATCTTATGTGTTTTTATATTCTTTCTGACATCTCCACCAGTAATTTATGTATTACAATGGTTAAATAACTTTATTTAAGATTCAAATTATAGTGTTAAAATTAATTAATTATATGCTGTTATCATTTATTAATTTATTCACTCAATAAATTTGTGTACCAATTTGGTACAGTGTCTTATCAATGTAGAAGAAAAGGTCAGTGAGTCAATGTTATATATTCTACTTATTAATTTTGTAAATCCATATGACAGATTTAACTCACTTGAAGTAAAACAGGATTCATGAACAAAAGAAGAGAATGTGATACTGAAAGAGTCAAGGAAAAAGAAAATCTAAAGAAGGACAGAGAAAGAGGAAAATTAAAGATACTTTTATTACATTCAAAGAAAGGTACAGAAAATAATTTGTGGAGGTGATAACCTTCTGTAGTAAAAGGGAGACATATAGAACTTAAAACTCTGGTCTCACTCTATTATTCCCTCAGGTGCTGCGTTTTTGGTAAATTTTTTTTTAGTTTCATGGTTGGAAGCTATTACTTTGCCTGATGTACAGCTTTTCAACTGCTTACATAATTAAAAAGATGTTACGAGCATAAATTTTTATTTTTATTGAGATTTTTTTTAGTTTGAAAGGGATTTAAACTAGGAACATCTTAAAGTAAATATGTGAATATTTCTGATAGGCTTATTAGGACTTAATTTGTTGAAATTTATTTTTTAATTTATTTCACCAGACATGTTTATGGCCAAATAGGCAACTATATTTGACTTGTGAACAGCTTTCTTAAAAAGGAAAGGGAATTGAAAAAGTGATATTTAGAAGTACATTTATACTCTGTGTGGTAAAATGATAATAAATAATATGGAATCAAAAATAATATCCATTCTCTTTCTCTTGGAAGCCATGCATTTTACTCATATTTATTTGTCAGTGTAATTAATTCTTATTATATTTTGTATCCCCCTGAATATAGGGGTAATATCATAGGTACTAATCTTCTACTTTTCATTTGATAGCTTATGCTCATCTCTATAAAAATCATTATTAACAGTGATTGTGCATTATTCACAGATATTGGCTGACCTAGAAAACCATACATTATTTAAGAATGATCTGGAATGTCAAAAGCTGATTCTGGAAGCAATGAAATACCATCTATTGCCAGAAAGAAGAACTTTAATGCAAAGTCCAAGAACTAAACCTAGAAAATCTACAGTTGGAACTCTGTATGCAGTGGGAGGAATGGATAACAACAAAGGTATTTAGTTCTAGATCTTTAGTAATACACACACTGTATCACACCACAGTTTACAGTTTACAGTTGTAATCTGTGTAATACAAACAAACTTCACAGAATCACAGCTTTATTCATTAAGATTTAAGATTTAGGGAAAAGTTAAGACACCTCTCAGTTTTCCATTTTTTCAATCTGTAGTTGCTGCTTCTGCTTCTTACTCATCTTTAAATCTTTTACCTCATGCATTATGTACAAGACTTCATATGAAATGAAAAAAAGATTAAAAGTACCTAGAAAACACAGGGCAAATAATTTCTTGGCTATATTGAAACATGTATTTCTATTCTAAGTAAAGGAAATGTAATCTGCCAGCCACATGCTTGCTGAGAGTAATATTATGAAGAAGCGAGTCTCTGCTTTTGAGGAGTTTAGAATCTCATACAGAAGCCAGACAAAGAAGTAGACAATTATAAATGGGTGTACTGACTATGTCAGGTATCATTTACAAATTTAAATTATTTTTTTACCAATTTTACTCTAACAAGGAAGTGAGTGATTTGTTTAAAACCAAATACATACATTCGAAGGTTTTGTTCTTACTTTTCTATAGTTAGTGGGAAAATCTCCATGAATGTTTGTTCTCTTTAGCCTTTTTTATGTGTCTTAATTTTCCTGAACAAGTACACAAGACAAATAATGTAAGTGTCCTATGTTTGTGTCTAATAGGTGACATAATTATCAATAATACATTTAATATACATGTACAAAATACTGTTGGCAACCATAGAGTATGACCACATATTCAAGCTCTGTTAAAGGAACTCTGTTTTTAAAGAATCAGGAAGAAGCAACAGAACTTACCTCAACTACTGTGAAGTGAGATCCCAAAATAGGAGGCAAAGGGAAACAATTCAGGTAATCAATAGAGAACAACACACATTTCCCATTTTTTATTTGCCAAGAAGATATCTGTGGCTATAAAATGATTTTCACTAGTTTAATTTTTTGAAGTTTTACTCCTATTTGCTGGGCTATGGATTTCTAGTGATTATCACATTAAGCGAGCATTAAAATATTAACATATATATTCAAGAGCTTAACTATTAGTTAAAAAGGGTAAATGACTTGACACTTTAAGAACTAAGGAAATGGCATCAATCTCCCTCCCTCCCTGTCTCTCTCCACTTCTAGCTCCTTCTTTAATGTTATTATTTAAGAGACCATGTTAAAAATTTCCCCCCCAAAAGATATAGTGCTTTAACACCCTCTTTTATAAAGTGGTGAAACAAAATATCTTAGATACAAATCTCTCTCAAAAATAGCCAGAAATTATATTGAAATGTCCCCATAAATGTTTTTCAAGCTTAGAAAACAAATCCATTAAGCTGTATCCATGTAGTCCTTATGAGAGTAATAAATACTAAATAACACACAGCACATGATATAATTTGCCATCTCTTGGAGCAGAAGCATGCAAACTTTATTGTAACTTTTTTTTTTTTGGTACTCTGGCCTCTCACTGTTGTGGCCTCTCCCATTGTGGAGCACAGGCTCCGGACGCTCAGGCCCAGCGGCCATGGCTCACGGGCCCAGCCGTTCCACAGCGTGTGGGATCCTCCCGGACCAGGGCACGAACCCGTGTCCCCTGCATTGGCGGGCACTCTCAACCGCTGCACCACCAGGGAAGCCCTATTGTAACATCTTAATAAGTTCATTTTACCTGTAAAAGTAAAAGGACAATGATTTTATATATGTTTATCAAATTTTAAGGTCTAATGAATGACATTTGCTTTTCAAGAACACTGCATTCTACAGAATGAATGCCTGTATAAGATAAATTCCATTTGTAAATATGCACATATCATTGAAAAAATAAAGAACATTGATGAAATCAGGCCAGCCAGTGACTAGGACTGAGCAATAAACAATAAATTAACATTAGTATAAAACTCACTATGCTATGAAGAGCCAAAAGACATGACTAATTTAAATTTTTAAATTTAATGACTTTAAATACAATTACAATAGCATAAAAGAATATGAGTATGGGGGGAGTCTATTGAGTTAAGCTCTTTGTCAGCATTTGAATTTGTCTAATTTTACACAGCAGTCTTTTGAGACTGAAGAAATTCTTAAGAAAATGAACTTTCTTAGGGATTCTGAATCTTTCATTTTATAATTGAAGACTACTAATTATTTAGCAATTGTTCCACTTATCCAGTAGTCCAGAAGATTAAAAGAGTGTGACAAAACAAGGGATTTAAAAAGATATTCCTGATTAAATCAGCAATAAAATAGAAAAAAAAAATGAAGGAAATTTTAGGAATTCTTACCATATCCTCAGCCCTCTAGGAATTGGACATTAAATATATCCCATAACTTAGATAAAAATCTGACATTACCAAACCTCAGATAACCTACTTTTCCTGCTGCAGCAGAAACTTTACCAGTTTCAAGAGATTTAAAGAACAACTAGGACATTTTCAAGTTAATCCCTTGTATTTACATTGTGCTTTTACTGCTTAAAAGCTGTTTTCTACACCTTATTAACTTGTGCTATCTCTAAATAGGCATTAAAATTTTATCTTAAAATTGTGTTTTCTTTTCTCTAAAGGTAATGAGGAATATTAAAATGTAAAAAGAGGCAGGGAAATCAAAAGAAAAAATATAGCAAAACACTGGAATTTACTTTGCATGACTAATTTGAAAATACAATATAATACAGTATGTTACAATACAATACAATGATATGCAATATTTAGTGTGCTTTTTGGAATTATTTACATATTCATATTGTGCCTCATAAGGTTATATAAACATTTTATTGAATTCCTCTTCAGCTCCATAGTTACTGGGATTCATATGATATTTTATGGACTTGATAAACTATGAGTACAACTCTTGCAGATTTTCTGTAAATATTAAGAAAATTCAGAGCATTTTTCTCTCCTTTCCCCTCCTTTCTTCTTATATCCACACATACATGCATCCTATAATGATGCACTTTTTGCACATCTATTTTGTGCTGGCTCTGTGTTAAGAACTTGTGAACATTATGAGTATTACCCCTACCTCACAAAGCTTCCAAGTTACTCTAGGAAAGCAAATAGTAAACAAAATATTTGTGAATAAAGTGAGTGTTACAGGAATGGACTTGCGAGTGCAATCAGTATAATGCTTGGGAGCCAACCTAGTCTAGTCTAGAAGAGTAGAGAAGTACAGAGAAAATGTTTGCTGTTGTTGTTGTTTTTAGCTGAAATCTAAAGAATTATTAGGCATCAGTTTAGCACATTACTGGAGCAGCAGAGTAGGTGTGGTGGTGAATTCCAGACTAGAGGTAAATCAAATGTGAGGGTTTACAGCTAAAGAAGTGTGACATCTTTAAAAATGGAGAGAAATCCTCTATGGCTGAAATATAGCCAGTGGAGAAATGAAAGCCATATGGTAGTAGAGGGAAGACACAGCAGATTTTAGGGAAAGGATAAGCATGATAGACTCTGAATTGAAATCTAGACATCATAGAAAGCAGGTGATGTTCCAAATGAAGAAAGTAGTCTTTGCAATCAGAGAGATGCCTGTTCAAATCCACGAATGTCACTTAAAATCTCTAGTCTAATTTATTCTTTCTCAATACTGTATTGTGTTTCTGTAACAATTACAGTGATTAGATGTAAAGAGGCTAAACTAATACACAGCATTCCAAAATGTTTGTTCAGTGCCAAAGAGACCATCAGAGAACTCAGAAGAAACCTGGGCTGACTTTCCTTATCACATTATGGACTAAGGCCAAGCCATCTAGGAACTTTGGAGGCATGGACTATAGTGGTTCTATGACATAATAGTAATGTGACATAGGGAAGAAGACAGGACAACAAGATATTCATATCAGTGGCATTTATATGATTAGCATTATGTAGAAATTAAATACCTTTTATACCAATGCAAACAACATTCAAGAGTTGGGAATCATATGAATCATATCAGAGAAAAGAATCAAGTCATAAATGAAGTTAGCAGTATCTCTTGGAAAGTATGATTTAATTCGCTGCCATACTGGAAAATACTGAAAAATAAGTTTTTAATGATGTAGTAATTTATAGCATATTTAAGGCCAATTAAAATGATTAATATATTTATTAATGTTTGTTCTACTATGAATGAAAAATGAAGGGACATATAAAATTAAATATGGAAAAAAGTCAGTGAATTTTTAAAAACTATTTTTATTAGGAGAACAAAATTTTTAAATGTTTTCAACTGAAATAGAATGCAGATTTAAAACAATGCAGTAAATTGTACCAATAAATATGCTTTCGTTTTGGTAAGAATTTTATTACAAATCGCATAGGAATCATCATAAATCCTTTAGAAGGTTGAGTTAAAAGTAAAACACTAATTGCTTATTCTCAAGTGCTTGAAATGTCTCACACTAACGTATGATTCATGTAAGCTATGAAATAAAATTTGGTGCTATTGGTTACTGGAAAATATTTGTATCAAAAAGTCTATTGAATTTATTTTCTGATGTTGGTTGATTATTAGAAAATTCCATGAAAATAAAAATAATTTTGTTTTGTACTCATAGAAATTGTATTTTTTGAAGATTCATTTTCTTTCATTCTAATTATGAACATATATTGAAAACCTGGTAAACATACAGTAGTATAGATAAGAAAAGGAAAACCAACTGTGAGCTTATAACTTAAATATAATCATTGTTACCATTGTTAACAGAGTGGCATATTTTCTTTTCCAAATTTCTCTGTAAATGTGCATGTGTGTATGTGTGTGTGTGTGTGTGTATACATGTTTGTATACAGACATAACTCTATATCTACATTTATACAGAGATTACCTATTTACAATTGTCTTCATCTCTCTCACTCTGGTATCTAAATACAGGCATATTTAGATTTATTAACATCTAAGAATTATTATTTTGTTACTTTTATTTATTTTTTTATTTTTTATTTTTTATTTTTTTTATTTTTTTATTTTTTTTAACATCTTTATTGGGGTAT